CTCACAAATAAAAGATTGGCTTTAACTTACTTACTGATAATAAAATAGGTCCCACATTTTATTCATTTCCTTAGCATTTTAAATAAATTTACTGATATACTATGAGAAATATTTGTGTTTAAGCGTCTATGATTGCCTGCGTGGTGCAGTCAGTTAAGCGTCCAACTTTTGGTTTCAGCTTGGGTCCTGATCTCAGGATCATGAGATCGAGGTTTGCATCGGGAGTCTGCTAAGTTTCTCTCTCCCTCTCCATTTGCCCTTCCCCACTTCACGCTCTTTCTCTCTCATATAAATAAATTCTTGAAATCTTAACAAAAAAAAAAAAAAGAAAAAGAAAAAAGCACCATTTCCTCTAATCTGTCCACACGACCACAAGGTAAATGAAGCAAAGATCACCAAATCACAACCCTTGGACACAACCATATGCTACAGCTCTGCCTAGTATGTTAACCCAAAGGAAATCCTTTAATTTAATCTAAATCATTACCTTATATTAAACCTTTTTCAGTTTATATCAAAGGACTCAGACAATCATTTCCTCAAGTGTAATTTCTAGGTACCATATATTCTTCAAGTGGTCACTACATACTAGGTACTAAGTTAAACCCACTGGGTTTCACAAAAAAATAAATAAATAAAGAGCAGTATTTAGCTGAGGAGTACTTGAACCCTTTGGAAAATTTCAAATTCAGATAGCACACTTTTGCATTAATGATATGGGATTCATACCAATTTATTGACCTGTATGTTACTGACCTATAGGAACTGTTCCTATAGCTCACATTTAAAAAAAAAATCTATTTTGAAATATAGTTGGCGTTATCTATATTTGTTCCTATCTTTTTCATTTTTTTGGAAAAAATTAATTATTAAATAGACAAAGGGAGGCCCCATGTCCTTACCAATCCCATTCCCCACTTGCTCTGCAAAGGTAACTTCCATTATGTAACTTAGTGTTTATTGTCCCTATGCATGTCCCTTATAGTTAATTATACTTTGAAAGGTTTTTTTTTGCAGAGAATTAAAAATTATGTGAAAGGCATCAAAATCTACATGTTCTTCTGGAACTTTTTCTTGCTCAACATTATGCTTTTTAGTTTTACCCATGTCAATGTTAATTCATGTCATTCTAGCTTTTTTTTTTTGCTTTTATAATAAACATTTTAGAACACATCAAAGAAGTGCAATAAACTCCATTAACCCATCATGTAACTTCAAGATTACATCCATTCTTCCCCTCCAATATTTTTTGATATAGTATTTTAAATCCCAGATCTATCATTTTACCCTATAAAATTTATTTTAACTGCTGAATAGTCCCATTATATGAAACAGTCTTCTGTTGTTAAATATTAAAGTTGTTTTACATAGTAAGAATTTTTTCCAATTTGACAACCTATTATTAGAGGAGTCTAATTCACTCATATACATATTACGGCTTTGGTATATTTGAACTTACTTCTTCCAGCTTACTTTGAGCTTTCTGACTACCATTCTTTTTTTCTCTATTTCCTCCTCTCTCTCCTATCAGTAAATTTTAATATCCTCTTTTCTTTTTCCTTATTTAAAAGACTTAGACTTCTATTCTTTTAGAAGTTATGCTTAATGTACCTACATGATTATTACTAACTCTGACATGCCATTAATTTATAAAGTACACCATATTATCTTGTATACCATTAAAATAGAAAAATGCTATCATCTAAAGCATAAAATGCTTTCTTATCACTTAAAATTCTAATTTTATACTTTAAAAGAGAGACTTACTTAGAAGTACATTTTTATTCTATTACCACCCCATGTGATACAGAATAAAAAGGAAAGCAAAATGAATTGTTTGACATACTCCTGCATCTTCCTCATATTCAGATTTGAACCTTCTCAATTACTTTCCAATTCAGAGACTGCTGAAGTCTGTTTTTTTCCCCACACAATATTATCCTCAACGTCATCAAGACCATTACTGATGTAGTACCTCTTAAAAATGCTCCATTATTATCTCCCAATTTTCTTCTAAACACCAGTGCTCACATTTTCTTGATCTTGCCAGAAGGTCTCAACAAAAGGTTTTCTGACAAAAACCAGAACAATTCCTTCCTCAAATTGTCTTAAGATGGTCTGTTAACTAAAACATCAAAGTGCTGCAGTTGTCTAATCGTGCTACCACACAGAATAACCAAGTTCACAAAGGCAATAAAAATACACACATAAACTACCTTACCAACAGTGATTATATGATATCATCAGCTGAAGATGCATTCTGATTTCAAAGATGTGAGAAAACAAGAAATACCTGGTAGCTTTCAATATTCTCTTTTTCTATGGAGTCTAGGTCTGAATTTATCTTTATGTAACCTGCTTAATACCAAGAATGTTCTAACTGGGGACTCTTTTTTTTTTTTTTAATACTTATATATACACACATTTTTTTAAAGTTTTTATGTTAATTCCAGTTAACATACAGTGTTGTATTAATCTGTGGACTACTGAATTTCCTCAGGTCTAAAAAATCCTGAGCTATTAACTCTTTAAATACTACTAGACCACCATTCTCTCCATTTTCTTCTGGAATTCACATTAGATGAATGTTGGTAACCTTTATTTTATTTATTTATTTGTTATTTTTTTTTAAGATTTTATTTATTTGAAAAAAAAGATTTTATTTATTTGAGAGAGAATGCGAGGGCACACATGAGTGGGGGGGGGCAAAGGGAGAGGGAGAAGCAGACTCCCTCCTCAGCACAGAGCCCGACCCGGGGCTTGATCCTAGGGCCCTAAGACCATGACCTGAGCTGAAGACAGAGGTTTAACCAGCCACCCAGGCACCCCAGTAATCTTTATTTCTTTGTACTATGTTCTGGGTGAGTTCCCTCAGTACCATCTTCCAAATTCATTCTTTGACACATCAAGTCTAAAGTCTAAAGTTTGTCTTTGAGAGAGAGAGAGGGAGAGCACAGAGGGAGAAGAAGACTCCCCACTGAGCAGGGAGCCCAATGCAAGACTCGATCCCAGGACCCTGAGATCATGACCCGAGCCAAAGGCAGATGCTTAACCGACTGAGCCACCCAGGTTTGTATTTTCTATTACTTTTTCTCAATAACCATATTTTTCATTTCCAAGTTTTCTAATTAGCTGTTTTCCTATCTAGTAGATCTTATTCCATTATGCCTCTTTTAATTCCTTAATCCTCTTTACTAGTTTATATTCACTTATCTCTTTGCACATACTGAACACAAACTTTTTTGTTCATCTGTTTTATAAATGTATGTATTTTTTTAAAAGACTTTATTTATTTATTTGACAGAGAGAGAGACACCGAGAGAGGGAACACAAGCAGTGGGAGTGGGAGAGGGAGAAGCAGGCCTCCCAGGGAGCAGGGAGCCTAAGGCTGGGCTTGATCCCAGGACCCTGGGATCGTGGCCTGAGCTGAAGGTAGACGCTTAACGACTGAGCCACTCAGGCACCCCTGTTTTATGAATTTAAGTTTTATGTGGAGTGAATTCTTTTTCCAATTGTTAAATTAATTGCTGTCCTAGTATTAGATTTCTTGGATGTACTCTAGAATTTTGGTTGTTTGCTCATTTCAAATGGGAGGTTTCTTGTTTTTTCCCCTTCTCCTCTTCTCTCTCCCTCCATCAGTGCTGTGGGACAGAGCCATAGAAAGCAATGTAAATGTTACCACCTAGCATTGTGTTATGTTCTACCCTTTGTGCTCATCCATCCCCACCTAGCAGTTTTCAGGGCATCTCCTGCCAGCCCTCAAAGTCCCCAATTTAGTATCAGTCTTATAAAAGTAGTTTTTAATTACTTCCCTGGAAGAATATTGGGGATAAAGCCAAAACAGTCATAAAATGGTTCCTTAGCTTGATCTGGTCCAAAATTGCGTCCATAAGCCCTCATCTTCCAACAAAGCTTTAGCCCTAGTCAGCAGCCCAAGATTATTTTCCCTACCAATATTGCTTCATGTAGTGAGTGGGACTCCTTGTGCTCTATCTCAGATGGGAAACACTTAGTCCCTTTTACCACACAAGAGCATAAATTCCACAGCCTAACTTAGGACTTTGAGTCCAACAAAACCTGCAAAATCAATCTCTACACACCATTTTGAGTTTCTGTTCTGTTTCTGGTTCATAGAGATAATATTCTACTTTTTTGGGTCCTATGATTTTGTTCTGTTTTCCCTTCTTATACTTTATTCACAAATGCTGTGTCTGGAATGGTGTTTTAAAATAGTAAACTTATTGTGCCTTATCTTTTTCTCCCTCCCAATTATTATTTATTGCACAAACATTAAAGGAAATCAGTTATGCCAAAACCCATCAACTGTTTTGATTTTTCCATATTCTCTTCTAGTTTCTGTCCATGTATGTACACTTCTATAATTATATAATTGCTATAATACAGTTACAATTTGGTTTTCATTTTTTTATTGGATATTTCACATACTTTAGAAAGCTTTCAAAATTTTCACTCCCTATGGCGTGCTCCTAAATGAGATATAACACATCAAACAAGTGAATGGTTAGTTTAAACTGTTTTGAAAGGGGGGAAAAATCTACTTTCAAAAAAAACGCGAGTGGAGGAAAGGACTGTGGTTTACCGCAATACTACATAAATGTCTTCAAAGTCAGCAATACATCACCCACAACACATCTTAGGTATCTTCAAGTATCTATGCCTTTCTAAATATACCAATCTTGACTAAAAAAAAATTTTACCTCACGTTAAACCTCACACCAAGTAGTATCTTATCAAGTATCTTACTATAAAAATAGCCTACAAATGTCAACGGCATAAAGAAATTATTTCCTTTTATGTATTTGCTAATGTATTTACCATACACGACATATTCTGCAAACCTAGTTCTGTTTCACTTAGGTAAATCATGAACACTCAGAGGCACAGTGTCTTCAACTTTAATATGAGATTATTCCTGAGTGAGGATTAAATGCAGTCTTATGTTTGAAAGTGCTTTGAAACCACAGAGATATTATTTTTACTACAATTACCTTTTCTATTTCTCTTTGTGTAGCTCCTTCCTTTTTCAAACGTTCCTGTTCTACACACTTGGCATTGTAATTTTCCTTGGATTTCTGGAGGGCCTGAGTTATGCTTTGAATGGTTTGAACAGCTTCCAGAGTTCCTGCAACTTCTTCTTTAGTCTGTATGGTATGAAATGATTCATCAAAATGACTGAACTGTCATGCACTCAATATGTGATCAATCAGTCCTTTCACAGGAAAAAACTGATACCTTTTTATGAGCTTTTACTTGTTCTTCTCCATACTTCTGAACTTCCTTTATTAATTCTTGTAATTTTCTAACAAGATCCAAGTGACAGTTTGCTAATTTCTCTGTAGATGTTTTGAACACATCCCACACTGGTGCAAATGTTCTAAGGGAAAGGAAATATGGGAATTATTTAATAAAAAAAAGGTTAAGGCTCAAAACAAAACCAACAGAAAAAATAATGTTATACTCAGCAATTTTAATTAGACAAAATAGGAAATTAAAATAAATCACAAATAAAATGATTTTTCATTCTGACAGTGATTTTTTTACTCCTTGGTTAATTAAAATATTTTTGGACCTTAAGTACACAGAAATCAGTTAACTATTTATCACAGGTCTGGCCACGGGCCCTCTCTCTTAATTATGTCATACTATTTTCTGAGTTGATTTGGTTTTTTTTCACTTGTATCAGAAGCCTTTCTAATCATGGTCTATTGTTAAAAATTAACTTTTTACCAAATTTCAATTTTCAACTATGCAGGGCTCATTTAAAATGCTTCACCAGAAAATAAAAGTTCCTCTGAATTCAAACATGCAAAATCAAATGCACACATGATTTTATGAGTCCTCATCACTAATAATCATGAGAATTATTTTAACACTGTTACTTGAAATATTGTTTCAGATAATTTTATCTGTGCACTTTAACACTAAAACAGTCCCCTTTCCACTACATGGTACCTGTGCATGACCTACTTTCCTACCATTTCTTCATAATACTGAGAATTTAGTATTTTCTGCAGGTTCAAGTATATCCAAGAATTACTAAATTATTATATCCTAGATAGTACTTAGGATGTCAATGGTTAGCTTAAAACAATCTAGTCAATAAGGAATGACCTAAAGATAATTTTATCCTACGTTTTCCTCAGGTACTACCTAAGATATTTTCAACATCACCTGTTTTGCTCCATGACCAGACCTCTACTAGAAAACAAACAGAAGCAAGGCTAAAGGGCAGAGAAAGAAATTACTTACCCTAATATGTACTCTGTCCCAATCACTACATTTCCTATCCAGTAGGAATGCTAACTTGCAGTGATCATTTTAAGCAACAGTAAAGAATTTCAAAGAGGAAAGTTAAGATACTTAGAATAGGGCTGTTCTGATTAGATCTCACCTCACACTTTAAAATCTAAATCAGCATCAAATCTGGCAAGGAGTTAAATGGAACATTTTGAGAGCAAAAATAGGTAACTGAAAAGTATCCACTCACTACAGCACCAAAATACATGTACATCACTTCATGTAAACATGACAGTGTGGATTTCACAAAGCAGGAAGATGGAAGTGTCCCTTTACCAAAGGATTCTTTACATTGTAAAGGGGTTCAACATAAGACTTCTCTAAGTACAGGTTTCTTTAAGGAATGTCAAATATCATTACATTTTTAAAAGTTTAACATACAGAACTTTTTTGGGTTCAAGTAATACACATTAATGTATAATAAGCAGTAAGAAAGAAAACTGACCAATCTGAAGTTATGTTTAAGTGCAAAAAAATACAGAAAGAGGAAACTCAATTTCTTGAATAATATGCATCAGTAAAACATTAATATTTAAAATCTTTATAATCTTAACCAATCACACAACACGTAAAATATCATCCATTATTTATGAGAACCACGCATTTCAAAAACAGAAATGTTGTCAACATCTTTATTATCAGGAAATACAGGTGAAGTCAACCCATGTTTTTTCTATCTCCCACCTGATTAACTAAAAATAGGGTAGAATTTCTGTAATATAACCACAACCAAATAAGTACATTATGTTATATTTATGAACCATTATGTCTTCAACAAGAACTTAATATTCTCAAGAACTGTGCCTAAATCAATATTGAAAAAGAGTTTTTCAGAGAAATTAACTCACCCAAGTTGCGAATAATTGCTTGCAGATTTTGCTAGTTTTGTCATTGACCTGGAGTATGCTTCTTCTATTGTAGCTCTGTTAAATCAAATTTCCATAGGATAAGAGCTCTCAAACACATAGAAAAATTATCAAAATATAATTAAAACTGTTGAAACAAAAAACCCAAATTATATATTAAAAATAAGTAGGTATTGGGTGCCTGGTTAGCTCAGTCAGTAGATCATTCGACTCTGCATCTCGGGGTCATGAGCTCAAGCCCCAGGTTGGGTATACAGCTTACTTTAAAAAAAAAAGTAGGTATGTGGTCATGACACTCAGGTATCTCAGTCCCCTCAAACTCAGAATATCCAAACCAAACTTACTTCAAACTCTTCCCCAACCCCATGCCAACAAAAACCAGCTCTCTAATAAAAAGGAACTATTAACAGTAACTGTCTCTCATTGATGGAACTGTGACTTTTTTTGCTCCTTTAACCTTCTGTGTGTCTTTTTAATATATCACAAGGGTGGTACTTTGATCATCTAAAAAAAGTTAATACAGGAAAAAAATTAATATCTCAATGGGATAAGTTTAACAGCCACAAAAAAGTGGTCCAATCTCCAGCAGTAGTAAACTGATACAAAAACCTCCTGATGAGGAAAGCCACAAAAGCATGGAGAAAAGGGGCTAACTAAAAGGCATCAGAGAGCTCAGGAGGCAATTAAGAATGAGTAAGCCAAGATCTAAGAGAAGGATATCCAGAGAAGTAAATCAGATATGTTGGTTAGCTTTTCCCTGGTGGGCATCTAGAAGCAGGAGCTGAGACTAGGAAGAGGAGCAGCGTTTTTCACAGCCTCACAGGGTAAGGGAGACAAAACTAGATTCAGACTTACCAAAGATGGGAAGCATGGGAAATCCCATACCTTCAAGTTGAGACTCAATGAGTAAGGATAAACCTAAGTAGGCAAGCTCTCAAAGGAACTACCAACTGTATTTTTTCAAACCCTGATACTAGATCCTGTATGGATGTCTTACATACATTCATAAAACCATCAAGCACATAAGCAAATAAGACAAACGAACAAAAACCAGGAAGAACAAATAAGCAATGTTCCAAATGCTGAGATTAGAAAGCTTAGATTTTATGAGTTTATGTACTGTCTTCAAGGAGACAGTACATAAATCAAGAATTTCAGGAGCGCCTGGGTGGGCTCAGTCAGTTAAGTGTCTGCCTTCGACTCAGGTCATGGTCCCAGCATCCTGGCATCAAGCCCCACATCAGGCTCCGTGCTCGGCAGGGAGCCTGCTTCTCACTCTCCCTCTGCCTGCCTGCCTGCCTACTTGTGAATTCTCTCTCTCTCTGTGTCAAACAAATAAATAAAAAATCTTAAAAAAAAAAAAAAAAAGAATTTCAGGGGCACCTGCCTGGCTCAGTCACTAGAGCCTGTGACTCTTGATCTCAGGGTCCTGAGTTCAAGCCCTATCACAAAGCTGTAATCATCAAGACAGTATGGGACGGGCACAAAAACAGACACACAGAAGAATGGAACAGAATAGAGAGAGCTCAGAAATGGACCCTCAACTCTGTGGTCAACTAATCTTTGACAAAGCAGGAAAGATGTCCAAAGGAAAAAAGTCTCTTCAACAAATGGTGTTGGGAAAATTGGACAGCCACATGCAGAAGAATGAAACTGGACCTTTTCCTCACACCACACACAAAAATAAACCCAGAATGGATAAAAGACCTAAATGTGATGCAGGAATCCATCAAAATCCTTGAGGAGAGCACAGGCAGCAACATCTTCAACCTCAGCCGCAGCAACTTCTTGCTAGACACGTCCCCAAAGGCAAGGGAAACAAAGGCAAAAATGAACTACTGGGACTTCATCAAGATAAAAACCTTTTGCACAGCACAAGAAACAGTCAACAAAACCAAAAGACAACCGACAGAATGGGAGAAGATATTTGCAAATGACATATCAGATAAAGGGCTAGTATCCAAAATCTATAAAGAACTTATCAAACTCAAAATCAAGACCCAAAGAACAAATAATCCAATCAAGAAATGGGCAGAAGACATGAACAGACATTTCTGCAAAGAAGACATCCAAATGGCCAACAGACACATGAAAAAGTGCTCAACATCACCTGGCATCAGGGAAATCCAAATCAAAACCTCAATGAGATACCACCTCACACCAG